AAAGATCAAACCCCCCCTAGTTGATCGATTTTGACATTTATTAAATAGTAAACATGTATGCTCCTTTAACTATGGCCAAGTATTCTGACTACGCTACTGACCAATAATACATCGAAAACTTGCAAAATAAACTACATATTAAAAAGACGTTTAATTTTAAAGAAAAAAAAATATTTTAAAATATTGACCATTAATGCATTTCGTATTTTTAGCTAAAATGGATACTCGTACTTTTATTTACTTTAAAATTAATACTTTGTTAATAATAGTATTAATCAATTATAATTATTAAATATATGAGTATAATGACCAACCAAGTAATTTTTATAAATATTAATATTAATATACAAATTTCTAGTATTATTTTATTTTTATAGCATAATAAATATTGTCATTTAGTTGATGTTCCGTTTTTAGCTTATGTACTTAAAGTAAAGCCTTCAAACATCCTATCGATTGAAAAACTATCTAACTTTACTTTGTACGTAATCAATTATTCCAAAATTTAGGTTTACAAGGAATTATTTATTGTTCAGACTAACTAATTTACTTAATATTTCCTAGCAATACTTTCTTTATCACCGACAGGGTTATCTCCAAAGAAACTTTCAACATCCCCTATAAATCCAATCGTAGTACCCAAGGTCTTTTTCTTCCTTATTTTTTATTTTTATTTGATTCAATTCTTTTAAGAGGGTTTTTGCCTTTATTTTTCCCCTATGTACTATATAACTTTCTATCTACATCATCTTCATTGAATTATTATTATTTTCTAGCCATTCAATTTTGTTAAATAAGTAAACTTTGTGATAAGGGACTAGGGCCGTCGCACAGTGGTATTTTTGCTAAAATCTTGGCCATAAATCAAAATTGTGAACTTTTACATATAGAGTTTTAGTTCATTCCTAGGAACAGATAAATATATGTCGGAGAATAGACATTACAACGATGATGTATTTATTTCCAGCTTCTGTTTCCGAAAATGGACCCGCCACGTCGGTTTCAATTCTCTCAAATGGGCTGCCCACATTGTACTGTCGCATTGGGGCTTTTGGGCGCTTCTGGGGTCCATTGCTTGCCACGCAAACGGCGCACTTCTTGCACCATTCCTTCACATCTCGTTGGCTGTTGACCCAATAAAAACGTTCCCGAGCGTCCTGGTCACCCCAAGATGTCCTCCAGTACTTCTATTTCCTGCAGCACTTCTGGTATTCTGTTTCTGGGGATTATTATCTGCTTCCGGTCTTCCCCCCCTTCTGGCATCTTCAGAACGCGCTTTAGAAGTCCGTCCCTTAAGATGATGGAATTCCATTGGGCCCAGTACGATTTCACATTCGGCGACTTCCTGCCACGTTGGTTTATGGTCGTTCTTTTTCCAATCGATGATGAGCTTCAAATCCGGGTCCCTTTCCTGGTCTTGTTGAACCTCAGCGGATTGCCAATGATCATCTACGATTGTAGTCCTGCAAATATACACAGCCTTTTCTTCGACCCTATTTATTTTTCTAAATGAAGTCGGCGCCACCTGACTTCCTCTGCAACGACTTTGTATATGTCCCAGCTTTCCACATCTCCAACACCGGATTTACTTCTTCTCTGGTAGATTCTCTTTAAGGACTCGTCTGATTGCTTCAATTATACTAGGTTCCTCCTCTTTTTCTTCCTCGACTCTCCTAATTCTATGCTGGCTCCTGCAGCTCTGCTTTGCCGCCTCGAATTCCAAAGCTCGGGCTAATGCATCAAGCAGTTGGCTCGAACGAGCCAACGTCAGAGCCTGTCTTGTTTCGTTGTCTCGAAGTCCATTAAAACAGGCTTGAACCGCTAATCGTTCCATAACGGTCGTTGGAGTAGCTGGATATGCTAGCCGAACCAAGCGTGCAATATTAGCCTCGAATTCTTGTAAAGTCTCGTTGTGATAAATTTTTGTAGTAAGTGATTTTTCTTGTAAAACTTCTAATGAATAATGTTAAACAATATAAACATCATACATCATTTTTTTTTCACTGTTAAAAGTCTTTTACCGGTGATTTAATCGATTTGAAAACCCTCCAACTATGGCAGCGAAGTAAATCAGTTTATGTTAATAGTCAAACAAATACCTACTCGTCGGAAGAAGCATTGGCCAAAACGAAACATCAACTATGTGACAATATTTAATGCTATAAAAATAAAATACTACTACAATATTTATAAAAGTTACTAATTATTTGTTGGTAATCATAAATATTTATTAAATACTTACAATTTGAGTAAGTGGTCGATAAACCTACAAAATATAAGTGAATAATAATATCCATTTAGCAAAGTAAATATTCTAAAATTGAACAAATTCTAATGTAAACACTATTAGGTACAAATAATTTATTTTATTGATAAAGTATTAATTTTATAGTTAATTCTTATTTATAAATAAATATAAAAGTATGCATTTTAGATAAAATACGATAAGGTCAATATTTGAAAATTATTTTCTCTTTTTAATAAGTACTTTATTTTGCAAGTTTTCGAAGTGGTCGTTATAAATAAAAGGGGGATTTTTGTTACGGTAAACCCCTTATTTTATTTAAACAAAAAATTTACCTTTTATTTAGGTAACCATTAATTTACTTGAAGAGTACCTGTTACATTTTAATTCTACCAAAGGATCATTAGTCAGTTACATAAAAAAAAATGTCAACATAGGTTGCAGGAAGAAATAATGCTACATTAATACAAGTGGTTATGCTTAACTTTTGAAATTATGTACATTGGTATATAATTCGCGTGTATGGGTAAATGCAGTTGCGTAATTCAAGGGCGGCAAAGGGTGTCAATTGCCCCCTCCTTAATTGTCTAACACAGTATTTTGCCTTTAATTCAAGCCAAAACAGACGACTTTATTTTATAATAAAATAACCTGTGATGAATAAAGCTTTGTTTTTGTATAATATTTGATCACGCCAGCACTACATCCCACAACATAGACTTTCAAAACACAAAGGTATTAGCCAACATGGAACACCTGAAATCAAGAATTATAAGAGAAGCCATAGAAATCGAGAAACGGCCGCATAATTTAAACACGCGTGATTGACAATAATTGCATAGGAATAGGAGTTCCAAATATCGCGTTAAGGGGGCTCCAAATCAGCCAAGAAAATGTACTGTTTGTTCAGGCTAAGTTGAGCGGTCTAAGGAATGTCAGCCCGTCCATCATATCTATGTTCAGGCACAATTAAATACATGTATTTCGGTAGCCGCTCTGTACGAACAAACTGCAATCCCCAGCACTGATAAATCATTTTCTTGTTACCGAAATCTCGCGAGGATTCGATATTTAATTTAATCAACGGCCACATGATCCCCCACCAAAGCGCTCAACTTAGCCTGAACGGACTATAAACACAGGTCACTGTAGAATACATTTATGTAAGTAAGTACATAACCAAAATAACTATAATATAACATACATATGTTAAACTTTAAACCTGACAAAATAGGTGCGTTTTTTTCGCCTGAGATCTCAGCTCACTTCAGTTAATGTGATATGAGATGTAGTGATGTGAGTAAGCATTAAAAAGAACGACACACTCAATTGAAACGCGCAATCTGACGGCGCATACGTGAATAAGAGGCAACAACCTATCTCTGATATCATTATGTTCTGTGTCATATCCTTATTGGTTTAAATTTCGTGGTTTTCTATGTTTAAATTTGTGTTGAATGGATAATACAAAAATATTAATAAAAGTTTTATTTGATGAAAACGATGAAGGTGATAAAAAGACATCACTTTGACATGTTTAATTATATTGTAAAAAGTGTTTTTCTAGTTCTGAAAAACATTTTTTTTCGAATTTTATTTATTACCTATATTAAGTTTATAGTCAATTGACCAAATTTAATTAATTTTATGGAAATTAAAGTTTATTGCAAAAAATCATTTTTTTTGTAAAAAAATAAAAATTACATAAAATAAGAATTAAAAAATCTTTACTTTGTTCAATTATATGAAAACGATGAAGGTGATAAAAAAACTTCCCTTTGACATGTTTTGTTTAATTTTATTGTAAAAAGTGTTTTTCTCGTTCTGAAAAGCAATTTTATTTGAATTCTATTTATTATATCAAGTTTATAGCTAATTTACAAAATTTAATTATTTTTATGGAAATTTAAATTTTATTGCAAAAAATCACCTAAATAAGATTAGGTTATGTTATTTAATAACTTAACAAATCAATAATTTCTTTATCCCCTCCACTTTATTTCAGACTTAATTCAAACTGATTTCCACGCACCGCATGTGCAGTATCGGTGAGGGGGGAGGAAAAATTTTAGCTCACTTTATGGTGAGTGAAGCAAAAAGAACGCGCACATTTGCAAATTTTACCGATGTGAGCTGGGATTAACTAAGATCTCAGGCGAAAAGAACGCACCTAATGTCTCAAACTCAATAATTTCCAATGTAAGTAGAGAATTATTAAATGCTTGAAAAAAAATAATAGTATATGCAACACATTGGAGAAAGCATCGTTCAGATCTGCAGCCTCGGCTAAGGTCTCGGCAGCGAACACATTAAATAAGCGCTTTCTTCCCCTGTTATATAAAGTTCTATTTTTCTTGAGCCATGATGGCTGATGGCTCAGCCATTAGAGGCGACTCTGACCTCATAATGACTGCTGGTTCAAAATTTGCCACTTGGGATTACTAATCAGTGATTACTTCTAGTAAAAATAGTTTAAATAAAAAAAAAAGAAATTATCATCATCATCTATATTATTATTTGGTCACTCTTTTCTACTTTTTTACACGTTCAAAGATAATCTTAGATAATCTATGAAGATAATGCAGGCTATTATTCACGAGGATGCATTATAACCTCACTTTTTCAACAGGAGTAGAAAAACTAATAAATGCAATATTTTAAAAAACATATATACCTATACAAGTATATTAGTATACTTGTGTATATATCTTAGTATATTTAGTACTTGTATAATATACTTGTGTATATATCTTACCTTGATAATTCTCAGGAACGTACATCAATTGATCAACAACCCTGTCATCGTCCGCCTGATTGGGAAACAACCTCGGCGGTCCTTTGTGATTACCGGGAAACTCCGTACCGCCAGTCATGAACCAAGGTCTTCCGGGCTTTTTGGTGGGCTCGTCCACCACCACCTCTTCCTCGTCCTCCTCTTCGGCGACGAGGGGAACACCTGCCACCTCCTCTTCGCGATGCTCATCTTTCGGATCGTCGGCCACCGCCGCAGCCTTCTGTTGGGCGGAGGCAGGGACTTCAGAGGTCCGACGCGTCGGCCACGGCCACCGCGTACCGAGCGATATGAAGATGGTGATGCAAGCGAAAAGCACCACCACGAAGCATAGCCGTCGCGGCGATAGACGCGGTGGTATCATCATTGGTACGCCATTACCTTTAATAATAATATTTTTATTTATTTATTTTACATGAACAGTTGCATTTCTACAGATCAATAAAATACGCAGTTAATTCTTCGTATTTCGTATTTTCTCGATCTGTGTATTATTATGTATCACGTTTGATAAACGGCATTTTAATCAGGCACGAGCGAGTGTTTAATACAAACGAGTGGCTACAAAAGTTTATAAACTACTTGCCTACTATACTTCATCTACGACGAATACAAATAAAAATGTAAAGTCAATTTTATTTGTTAAACATTTGACCTATTTATTTTAACAATTTATAAAAAAGCTAACTTCAGCTTGTAACTAAAAAGCCCAAAAGTCACTGTTGCTAACTTCAGCCCGTGACTAAAACGCCCTAAAGTCACAGCTTGTCAATGAATAACTACATTAACTAACAGGCGAAGAAAGGGCTTATTTAAAGCCAAGCTCAGTGTTCGCTACCGAGGCCTTAGCCGTTTTCTTTGCTGATTTTAAGCTAAACGCGATAGATGGAACTACCCTTTTTATGTAATTTTAAAGTATTTTTATTATTGTTTGGCGGTGTCTAATAATCATAGACTTTTGAACTGCGTACAAATATGTCTTTCTATATAGGCTTATGACATAATAATTGTTATACGCTTGAAAAAAAGCATTTTTCTACGACTACATGTAAAAGTATATTTAAGAAAGAATTGAACCTTCACCCCTACAGAGTTTTTTTTAGTGTGTTCCACCAACTTCAAATACCGACAGACAGCTGTTTCGACCTATATCTGTGTCGGGCAACTTGGTGTAGTGGAACACACCCAAAAAAACACTACCTGAGCTTATATATTACCCAAGTAAGTTAACAGAGGCAAGATCACGTGATCCACACCGACCGACCATGATGTGGCCTTTGCCGCAATCGGTACATACTATGCAACCAAGAATGCACGAAAAATTGTATCAAAGATACTAATATGGCCTAAAGGAATCTAGAATTAGCCCAGGCTAAACAATGTTGCTGGTGGATTTTGGGCACACCCATATCACAGTTATTAGACATGGGACCCACATCAAATTTATATGAGATTATAATGACATTATATAGAAGAGTTCTGCAGAAGCAGAATTTAAATTGAAGTTTGCGAAAAAAAGTTAGTTTTTAAGTGTGCCCCCCCAGCCTCCTGCCCCCCAAACTAAGATAATTCAAATTAAAGTGGTACAATATTTAATTCACTGAAGTTTATCGACAAATTTCAAATTTTATTTAAAAAAATCAAGAATTACAGGTTTTATACCATTTTAAATTTGTATTATTTCTTTTACTAAATTAAAAAAATATATAAATGGTATAAAATCTGTAATTCTTGAATTTTTTTAATAAAATTGGAAATTTGTCGATAAACTTCAGTGACTTAAATATTTGAATTATCTTAATTTGGGGGGCAGGAGGCTGGGGGCACACTTAAAAACTAAATTTTTTTCGCAAACTTCAATTTAAATTATATAATATATATATAATGTCATTCTAAACTCGATGTGGGTCCCATGTCTAATAACTGAGATATGGGTGTGCCCAAAATCCACCAGCTGCCACTGCTAAACATTAAGGTAAACATTCAATTTTCATTCTTCAAGAAACTTTCTTGACCCACAACTGGTAATATTCATAAGAAAGAATTGAACCTTCACCTTGCCAGAGTTTTTGTTTTGAGTGCGTTCCAGCAACTTCAAATACCGACATACAGCTTTCGACCTATATTGGGTTTCATCAGTGTCGGTAGTATGTACCGATTGCGGCAAAGGCCACGTCTTTAGACGCTGTGGATAACGTGATGTTCTTACATCTCGCCTCTGTTAACTTACTTGAGTACCTAGTATATGCTCAGGTAGTGTTTTGTTTTGATTTTGTTCCACTACACCAAGTTGCATAATTTATTTTTTCTACGACAAATACATATTTTAATCTAAAAATGATTTAAATTAAATATTTGTTTAGACCGATTTTATAAAAAAAAATAGAGTAACTCTAGTAACAATTTTTAACTTGAGAATCTGTATTACCGGCGCGCTATATTCAAGGAATAAATTTTTATGTATAAATCGAAATTTATCGATATAGAAGCAGTTTTTCACACTGAAAGTGAAGAGAATGTTTTATGGGTACTTCACGCTGTAGTCTCCACCCGAAAATGTCTTTCAGTTAAATCTAGTTTACTGCCGGCAAAATCAAAAGGTCAGTAGAAACTTGCATATAAACTATTCAAATAGGTATTGCAGTTAAGAAACTATTTTATACTTTTTATTTTTGTATTAAGATAATAAAATAATATCAACATTATTATTTCACAAGAAGGGCACTTTATTTTAACGATTGTATGACATTTGACAATTGTTAACTAACTTCAGCCCGTGACTTAATAGTATATTATGTATCAAGTTTGATAAACGCCATTTTATACACGAATTTAATTTATGCACGAGCGAGCTTGCGAGCGAGTTCTTAAATTAATGAGTGTATAGAAAAGTTTATAAACGAGGTGCATACTATACTTTTTCTACGACAAATACTTATTATTATCTTAAAATGATTTAAATCAAAAATTTGTATAGAGCGCCATCTATGAAGCAACAGGAGAAACTGTCAAATGTCACATTTTCACATTTTATAAACACAATTATAAAGGTTATAAATCGAAATGTATATTGAAAATTGACAGTTTTTCACAGTGAAAGTAAAGGAAATGTTTTATAAGGACTTTACAGTAGAGTCCGTGCCCGAATTTAAGTTATAGTTTACTGCCGGCGAAACTAAAAGGTCAGTACAATGTTCATACAAACTTTTCAAATATTGGTGTTGAGAAACTATTTAATATATTTGTATTTTTGTATTGGAATAATAAAATAATTTTCGCATTTAGTATTATTTTACAAGAAAGGCACTTTATTTTAACGATTGTATGACATTTGACAACTGTCAACTAACTTAAAACTAACTTCAGCCCGTGACTAAAAACCTGTTGCTAACTTCAGCCCGTGACTAAAGCGCCGTAAAGCCACAACTTGTCAATGTGTATTTAAAAGGTCACTTAGTGTCATGGAAACATGTACGATAAAGGACGTTTTAAAGGTGGAAGTAGAAAAACTTAATAAAGCCACAACTTGTCAATGAGTATTTAAAGATCACAAACTTGTACGATAATGAGCGTTTTAAAGGTGGAAGTAGAAAAACAATATTAAAGTCTTACTAAAATAAAACTTATTATTCGTTTTTATTTTAGTAAGACTTTAATATTGTTTTTCTACTCCCACCTTTAAAACGGTCATTATCGTACAAGTTTGTGATATTAATATTAATATTAATATTAATATTAATATTAATATTAATATTAATATTAATATTAATATTAATATTAATATTAATATTAATATTAATATTAATATTAATATTAGATCACAAACTTGTACGATAATGACCGTTTTAAAGGTGGGATTAATATTAATATTAATTATTTATACTTGTGTATATATTAATATTAATAAATATTTTGTATGACATGTTTTCTTTGATTTGTATTTTTGTTTTGCGTTTTATTCAGTTTTATTTAAACATTTATAAAATAAAGTTTACTTAATTGAAATTATAACTTATGTTTGCTTATTGAACAGTGTACATACTAAAAGCAATTATCTGATATAAAAATGTATTTTTAGATAAATATAAAAAGAATAAACCTCAAGTTTTACAGATACGATTAAATATTTTATCTGCAATCAAAAAAACTCCTAGGCTACAACAAGCATTAGGTGCGGAAAAATTACTTTTTTCACTAGCAAAGAAAGTTTTCTTTTTCAGTTTATATTTTAACTTTTTCTACAAGGGTGCTGAAAGTTGCTACTAATATTTTCGGGATATTTTTTGTTTTTAATTAAAAATACTATTTAATAATTTTATTCCTGTTTTAACGCATTTGCGTGCGCAAAGTAAGCTTATTTTCCAAATTATAATTATAATAATAATTATTATTATTATTATTATTATTATTATTATTATTATAAAAGTGGCTTTATATTTAAGTTGCATAAAATTATGTTTTTAATACCATAATAATTTTTAATTATTACTAAAAATGTAAAGACAAAATTTTGACATTCACAATTATTTTGACATGTACATATGTAGGTATGTCAAAACTTTTTTTTAATTTATTTACGCCCTCAAAAAATAAATTGTTATGTTAGTATAGTAAAATAAATTGTTATGTTAGTATTATGTTAGTATTAATATTAATAAAAATTAAATTAATTGTATTATTTGCTGATTTAATTGCTCAATAATGAGTGTCTAAAAAAGTTTATAAACTAGTTGCATACTGTACTATACTTCTTCTACGACAAATACTTATTATAATCTAAAAATAATTTATATTAATTATTTGTATAGAGCTACATCTATAAAACAATAGAGTAACCATTCTTGGGAATCTGTATTGCCGGCATCAAATGTCAAATTTTTATGTATACCTAAATCAAAATGTATACCTTGAAAATATACATTTTAAATCCGATATGGAAGCAGTTTTTCACAGTGAAAGTTAAGAAAATGTTTTATTGGCATTCCACGATGGACTCTCCACCGGAAAGTTTACTGTCGGCGAAATTTAGAGATCAGTCAATGTTCAAATTTTTTAAATATTGTCGTTGAGAAACTATTTAAAACTTTTGTATTTTTGTATTCATATAATTTTACATACGTTTAGTATTATTTTACAAAAAGTCACTTGCATGACATTTGACAACTTAATACTAACTTAATGCCGTGACTAAAAACCTGTTGCTAACTTCAATCGGTGACTAAAACGTGATAAAACCACAACTTGTCAATGTGTATTTCAAAGGTCACTTAAAAGATCATGAAAACATTTACGATAATGGGCGTTTTAAAGGTGGAAGTAGAAAAAATACTTTTTCTACAACCAAGCGAAAAGTACAAATTTGCGCTTCCAAAAGAAAGCGC